TAGAAAACCTTATACCTATTGCCATAGTCAAGAGATAACAATAAAAAATAAACATAGTTATGATGGTTAGACAGTTTTGGAAGAATCTATCGATATTTTAGCTTATGTGTATTAAAAAAGTCATCACCAAGCATGTATTAGTTGCCATCACGAATTAGTTGTTATTGTGCCTATAGCATATTAGTACGGATTTAGGAGCTTAAAATAACAGATTTTTTTTAACCACACAGATTTATTATTTTTTACCTTTGGAGTTTATAAAAGAACCCTCATGGTGCAATGATTAAAGCAGTCTTGCTAACAAAAGTTTGGCAGTTGAAATCTACCAGCTACTTGGTGAAGCGAAAGATGTAGCAATTGGTTTCCATAATGATTCCAGCTTTAGAAACTCTGTGGGCAGTTCTCTCCCCTCCCTATAGTGTCCCCATGAGTCAGAATCAACTGAACAGAGGTGGGCTTGGTTCTAGTTCCGAGGTGAGCGTCCAAAATGGGTCAACTGGGGCCAAAACTCAGGTGCCAGCAGCGCTGTCCCTTCTGAGGCTCTAGTGGAGGGTCCACTTGCCTTTCCCAGCTTCTCGCAAAGCCCACATTGCCTGACTCCTTGGACAGCAGTCCTAGGACTCCTGTCTCAGCTGTTGGCACGACTTCTCTTTCTCCGGCTCTGCTGCCTCCTCTTTGCACGTTTAAAGACCCCTGTCAGTACATTGGCCCCCTTGGATCATCTGGGATAATTTCCCCATCTCAAGATTCTTAGTTTAATTGCATCGGCAAAGTCCCTTTAGTCCTGGGGATAAGGATGTGCATTTGGTGGTAGGGGGTGGGGGGTGGCATTATTCTGCCTCTCGCTGAGTGGTCGCTGTTCTATTAACAGTTCACATCTCTGGCTTTTAGAGAAGAACCTTTTTTGTTCCTGTGGGAATATGTAGTAGAAAATGACAAGAAATGAGGGGGAAGGAACACATACATTGCTTTTATATACTGTTTTAAGACTAAAAGGGTAAGATACCCTTAAAATATTTTTTCATCAATAAATGACTACATGGGAGACTGGAAATTCTGAATAATATAAAATCTTAGCTATTTGGAAACGCAAGGAATACATTTTCTACAGAAGCAGTTCTTTAACAGAAAAGCAAGTGAAACAAACCAAACAGAAAAAACATGTCTGTGAGAAAAGTTCTGATACTTACACACTGTCATAGCTGCTCTTTAATAAAAATGCTTCACATGAGAGGAAATTGAAATTGAACTTTTCCCTGCCACCTCTACCCCCACCTTCTGTTAGACAGTGATAGCCACTTCGAAGTATCTCTGTTAATTTTTTTCTTTAGGTCATTCTAGTATCTCTAGATAATAAGTTTAATCTGTATTTTTGTATCAACTGTAGACAATAGCTACTGTCATCTTGTTAGGATTTGTATCATTTGTATCATTGATACCATTAAGCTGTACCCTCTCCTCAAGTCTCAGCCTGAGTCTCTCCCCCTGGTTAACTCTGAGATTTCACACCACAGGCGGAGTGGGGGATTTCTTTAACAATCCGGGTTTTTCAGAATCAGAGGGTTTAGATCCAATTCAACATTAGCATCAGTGTGCTTGTCTTGGCTTAGAATTTCTCATCCATTTTCTAGAGCACAGAATATGAATATGTGATGATTATATGTTCTAGTTATTTAGATGTAGATGTGAGACCCAACCAAACCCAAATCACTGCTATTCAGTCAATAGGGTTTCAGAGACTGTACATCTCTATGGGAGCAGGCAGCCTCATCGTTCTCCTGCCAGCCTTGTTGTTCACAGCCCCGTGCCTACCCACAGTGCCACCCGAAAGTGGGGCTAATTGTACTCTCAAATACAGGAGAGGTCCTGGAACATAATGTCTTTTGAAAAGAAAAGAGAAGGCACAGAGGGTGGTGCCAGAGAGGCGCCAGCAGCCTGAGCACTGTGTGGGCTGTACGCCCAGTAGTGCTTCCTCTCCGAGACTCCTTGCACCTCTTCAGCTCAAAGCAAGGGCCAACCTGACTTCAGCTCTCCCAAGATGACCAAGCAGCCAGACTTTGACCTGGAGACCATGCAGAACAAAGCAGAACCCACCCTTGCCAAGCCTCCCAATGACCTCTCAGGCCTGCAAGCTTTCATGAAGGCATCCTGATCATGCAGGTGGAAGAGCAGGGCAGCAAGAAATCACCCCAGCGATGACGGAAAATAAATGTGAAAATAATGCAAGTTCCCCACAAACTTTTTGAAGCCCCCTTGTGTATCTATCACACAACTTTTGCCTGTTTAGTTATTTACTGGTTTAAGCCTTATTGACAGCAATTACAAGAATCTGTTTGCGAGCGCACCATTCCATGATCCATGTAGTTTTTCCATCGCCCCTATCCTCCACCCCCCACTTTCTATAAACTGACCCTAGTAGCCACTAATAAACTTTGATATCTATTAAAAGAAAAAGAGAAAAATCCTGGTTAATAATTGCTTTGAGGTTATGACCCCTGCTGCATCAAGACTGAAAATGTCCTAGTTTCGTCTCTAAGCAGATGACCTTGCTTTCTACCTCACGGACTCAGAGCTATTCATCATGAACTTCTATTTACCTTCGCACCTCCCGTTCATGTTCCATGTTGTTTCAGATGAGGAGCTGCAATCCTTTTCTGCCCTTATCTCCTCCATTTGCAATCTGGAGTCGCAGCACCGTTCCTTTCCTGCATCTGTATCTCCGGATTTATCCTAGTCTCTCCTTAGAGGAAAAAAAAAAAGCCTTTGACTCCTTCCTCTCTCACTGTCATCTGGTCAAGCTTTCTTCAGTTCTCCCTTCCTTTACATCTAGGCATTCCCTGCCTGTTTGGCGTTAGTGTACCTTTCTTCTTGTGCTTCTCCGGAGAATCTTATTCCTGTGACCTCAACTATCATTCGGAACCCTCGCCTCTTCCTAGAAGTTCAGACGCCCCTTCTCTCTGTATTCAGACGCCCCTTCTCTCTCGCCGTATTGACGGTTGTTAGTTACCACCTACTCGACTGGTTCGTCGCAGCCCCACGTAACAGAACAAAACGCTGCCCAAACCTCTGCCATCTGGGTGTCCTCAATCCCGTATTTGCCGTCACCTTTTTTTTTTGCCATTGTTGTTGGGAAAGAAGATGCAAAATTATTTTGCCAATGGCATAATTGTATGTTCGAACAATTCCAAGAAATCGACAAAAGTATCTTTTTTTTTTTGGTCAAGCAATGATTTAGTATTCTAGTGAAGTTATTTTACATTCTTTTCTTTTTAAAAAACATCATTTTATTGGAGGCTCTTACAGCTCTTATCACAATCCATACATATATCCATTTTGTCAAACACATCTGTACATATGTCGTCATCATCTTTTTCAAAGCATTTTCTTTATACTTGAGCCCCTGGCATCAGCTCCTCATATTTACCCCTCCCTCTACCACCCTCCTTCCCTCATACCTCCTTGATAATTCATAAATTATTCTTTTTAATTTTTATTTTTCAGGTCTTACACCGATTGCTGTCTCAGTTCACCCACTTTTCTGCTGTTTGCCCCCCTGGCATGGGGGCCATATGTCGATCATGGTGATCGCTTCCCCCTCCTCCACCCCAAACCTTACTCTCCTAGTATCGCTGTCAACAAAAGTATTTTACACCTAAAATGTGAGTTCAGTAAGTGTGCAGAATACATGATCAGCAGACAAGAATCAGAATGACATTTTTACTAATAAAGAAAATTCATAACTACATTAAAAAATATAACATTATATAGTGACGCTCCAAAACTAAAATGAGACATATGTATACTTAATAAAACATGTAGCATCTTTGCAACATCTGTATGCTAAAAAACTACAAAATGCTGATGAACAGAAGTGAAGAACTCCTAAATAAATACAGATAGGTGCTCTGTTTATGTATTGGAAGATTCAACAGAGTAAAGCTGTAGATTTTCCCCAAATGAATGGTAGGGATTAAATGTTTGTTTGTTTTTCATTGTAGCTTGGATGAAAACTTACAGAGAAATTTAGTTTTCCCTTCAACAATGTATACACCTTCTGTTTTCTGACATCCTGTGTAGTGGCCAATCCTTCAGGATGACTGCACTCTGCCACTTCCTCCACGGTTCCGGTTTCCATCTTTGTTCTCTTCGCTCCTTCCTGTCTTCTGAGCTTTGTTTTTGGGCAAAAGCTGCCCTTTTGTCTTGTGTGATTGATTGTACTGATTGTACAGGGAGCATTACTCCTAGTATTATTACTACTTTGTAGGCATGATTATTGTTTGTCTGAAAGTTGATTCCCCCGGGTCGCTTCTGTTCCAGCCATGAAAGGTTTCTAAAAACCACAGTCTCGGGGGTTCCACCAGTCTCCATCAGACCAATATGTTTTTGTTTTTAATATGATTTTGAACTTTGTTCTACATTTTTTCCCCTCTCTCTCTGCCCAGGACTTTCTACTGTAGTCCTGAACGAAGTGGTTGGGAGTAGAAGCCAGAAACCTCTAGTGTTTCTGGTTTCATTGCTTCCTTGAGTCTTTGTTTTTCTCCACTCTTGGTGAGTAGTGATTGACTCGTATCTTAAAAGCTTGTGAGTAGCCACCAAAGATGGTCTTGCCACTGTGTATTTTGAGTGTCTTGAATCTATGGGTTTTTTTTCCCCCAGCACTGTAATAGACAATCTTCTAGTATACTCAAAGATAAACAGATCTTTGGATAAAAACACTTTTAGCCAAAGATAACTTATTCCATACTTTACCCCCACCCTCCTGCCTTTAGGAGAACAGAGTAAGCATACTTCTCTCTGTCTTTTCTGTGCTGATCCATCCAATGACCAGTTTTCTAGTCACCCTGTGGTAACTTACAAGAATTGTAAAGTTAAAAAACATCCGACATTCTTGCAACCTGTAAGATTCGTTTCAAGTATACAAGCCTCCTTGCCCTCAGACCCCCTGTTTCCTGTTAATATACCCAGTTAACCAATTGTCGGCATTGTCTGATTACTTGCAGATCTGCAATTAAGGCTCTGCGTCCTGGAGGGTTACTTGTTTACTCGACATGCACGCTTTCCAAGGCAGAAAATCAAGATGTGATCACTGAAATTTTGAACACCTGCAGTAACATCATGCCTGTGGACATTAAAGGAGTAGCAAGGATGTGCTCCCAAGACTTCACCTTTGTTCCCATTGGCCAGGAATGTGGACTTTTGGTAATTCCAGATAAGGGCAAAGCCTGGGGCCCAATGTATGTGGCTAAATTGAAAAAACTGAATCGTGTGTGATTGGCAACATGTATTTTATAAACCATGTTAATACATTAATATATTTTTATGGGGTCTTAAAATATGTTACTATTTAAATAATTATACAATTATTTCTGGAATTCTAGTTAGTAAGAACTTCAACATCTCAGAATCTAGACTTGAGAATTTTTCAGGTAGATGTATTTTCCCTCCCTAGAAATATGTCTGTAGCGATGATTTAAGGTGGTGCAGATGGTGTTTGTTCAGTACAATAAATCTGCTGTCTCTGACTTGGCATTTTATAGTTAAATTAATCAGAATACATCATTTCTGTGCATAAAATGTTTAGAAATACCTTGTATCCATGAGTGTCTCTGAGCCTTTCAAAACACACATTTTCTGGCCCTCGTAGTTTGTTCCTCATCAAATGTACAGATTCTTTCAGGACATTTTCCCCATTTTGGTATTCTGAGACTAGCTTCTTAAGCAGAACGATCTCTAGTTCTACGAAAATAGGTTTCTCATTTGCCAAGTTGTCCTCTGTTAAGGACTATGTTCTGTTTATTGCAAAGGTCAGAACCTCTATGGACTCCAGCTTCATTCAACCCCACGCCCCCCAAGTTTTTTTGCATTTACAAATACAAATAGAAATGGTAAACTATGTTGAAAGGCCATTAGAACAGCAGACTAACACGCACATGTTTGACTTTCGACATGCAGCTTGTACAAAAATGGAGTCTATCCAGCAGGCTATAAAACAAGTACTTGAAACAAAACCAGAATGATTAATAACTGCAATAACTGAACTATATTTGGAGAGTTTTGTTACATAATTGCAGCCATAATGAGCAGTGCAGAATCTGATTACCATACAGTTGCAGTCTGGAGGGGCTTTTTATTTCACTTCATTGTAATATGTTATATGAGAGCATGATGTCACATATTAATGCACAAGAGGGAGATGCCTAATGAAAGTGGATTATATTATTACCAAACCCCAGTAGCTTTCACATGCCATTTACTAAGTGGCTCTCCCTGTTTACATAGACCCTGGGAGTCTTGTGTACATTTCTGTACATGGGCTTTGAGGTTTAGCTTCGGATTTGCATCCTGTGTTTTCCCCAGACATTGCTTCACTACGAGCCCAAGCATAGTTTCCCAACGATTAAGAAAAATTAGGTAGCCTATTCAAACAGATGATATCTATTTGAGAATTAGCTTTAGATAAACCTATTTCTGATGGTAGAAATACAAAATTCTGCTGAGGCTGAATCCTATTGAATTGTTCATTATATTTCATGCAATTGAAATATATCATTTTCTCATTAACTGCTTCTTTTGTATTTTAGAGAAAATTCCCCCCAATATTCATTGCACTGATCTTCCCCCCTTCCCCCTTTATATCTAAAGGGGATGTGTCAAGCTAGGTCTTATATATCAATCCACTTGACAAGAATACTTTTTACTGCAGAAGATTAATAATGATAGAAAGGATTTTTTTCAGTTTATGCTTCTTGGCTTGTTTTCAATTTGAAATTGCAATGCAGTAAATTATTCAACATGGCTGTTCTAACCATAGCCTTTGCTACTACCTTCATTTCCCTGATGAGTCTGGGTAGTAGTTAGGAGTTGGGCTGTGCTTTACAGCGTCCGCAGTTTGAAACCAGCCACTCCTAGGGGGAAAGACAGGGCTTTCTATCCTTGGAAATAGTTCCAGCCTTAGAAACTCACAGGGGCAGTTTTATCTTGTCCTATAGGGTCACGATGAATAGACATCGATTGACTCGATGGTAGTGTATCTGGTTTTTGGTTTTCTGGGTAAAAAGGTGGGAGAAGATACTGATTGGTTATAGGATTCAGCTGTGCATGTTAACAAGCATTAAATGTGAGTTCCATCCTGCCATATATTAAATCATCTATCTCAGAAGCAAGAGGGGACATTTTCACCGCCAGCAAGGGAGAGGCAGGAGCGGAGTGCATTCTTTGAACCCGGAGATTCCTTAGCATTGAACTTCCTTGATTCAGGAGACCACTTGGCCACTAGAGAGAGGCAGGGGAGCAGTAACAACAGTGGAACTAGGAGACAACACTAAATTCCCTAGCCCACAGAACACGTGAAACGGAGTGCCTGTGGGCAGGACTCGAGCTTAGGGAGTGGGTTGCCTCTGAGCACTAGATTGGGCGAGCTAGTTTTGCTGACCTTGAAGCTGGAAAAGCTGGATGCCTTTGGGTTGAGACTTATAGAGGAGTGGCATGCCTTTGGGGCATTTATTGGCAGCCCTAAAGGAACGTTGTGACTTTGTCTGAGCAGGGTAAAGGCCAAGCTAAGAGTCTGAGGGCCATAGAGAGGCCTGCCTACAGGCACTGCACAGAAGAAACTGTCCTGACTAAATAACTATATCATGAACATTTCTCACCTGAATCGTACCTTGTTAACTTCCCTAATAAACCCCATAATCATGACTGTTTCCCGTGAGTTCTGTGTAGCCATTGCATGGAATTTTCAAACCCAGCTGAGAAAATAGAGAATGCATGGGAGGGATGGCTGGTGTCAGAATTTGTACGGAAAGATGGAGGATGGGGGTCATGCTTGACCTCTACTTCATAGACGTTGGCGGTGAACACTTGGTTCTGCTGCTGCTGAGGAGCGCTGGTGTTGTAGTGGTTTGCTCTGGGCGGCTAATACTGAAAGGTCAGCAGTTTGAAACCACCGTAGGTAGGTTCCTTGGGAGAAAGCCTGGGCTTTGAACTCTTGTAAGCAGTTTCAGTCTCAGAAACACACAGGGGGAGTTCTACCCTATAGGGTCACTATGAGGTGGCATCAACTCGATGGCAGTGAAGATTTTGTTTTTTCAGGGGGAGGCAGGGTGCTGTCTAGTTAAAGGAGGTTAGATGCCATTCCATATCATTTTCCTTTATCAGGAATTTATCTGCAGGATAATTCAATGTGGGTTAATCACAAATCTTCACAAGGTACGTTGCTTTTTTTTCTTGTTTTATTAAAATCATTTTATTAGGGGCTCAAACAACTCTTATCACAATCCATACACATATCAATTGTGTAAAGCACATTTGTACATTCATTGCCCTCA